CTAGAAAAACCAAAGTGAACGGAGAAGTTAATGAAAGTAGGCCTAGGCCCACGGGGGCTGTAGTGCCAAGGAAAAAAAAAAAAAAAAAAAAAAAAAAACGCTAGCAATCGCTATTACTGGATTTTTGGACTTTATGCATCGTATGGTATTCTAAACGCACAAAAGAACACACCCTTTCAGAAACTAGATCTGCTTCCGTCCTCAGGTGAGGTGTGGGAGACACCTACTCTGTTGGGCTCATTAGACAGAGCTGCCGTTTAGCATTGTACCCCCAATGTCAATATAACTACAGCAATTTAAACTCCTAACGTCAGACTGTGTCAATGGGAGGTAACAGAAAAGACGCACTCAATAATTTTGAGCTTTATACATCTTCGTCAGAACCCTCTGGAATATAAAATTTTTTAGCTGTATTAACCATTGTGATTCGAAATGCTAACCATATTACCATTTTGTTCTGCGTGCTTTTAGGTCACGGATACGAACGACAATCCGCCCATCTTCTCACTTGGAGCCTACTCCTTCGACGTGGCGGAGAACACGGGGCGCGGAGCTCGCGTGGGAGCCGTCACAGCCCGTGACATGGATGAAGGTGTCAACGGTCAAGTCAGCTACAGCGTGATCTCGGACTGGGCTAACGATGTGTTCTCACTGAACCCTCAGTCCGGCATGTTCACCCTCACAGCCAGACTCGACTACGAGGAGGTAAGGATACTCTTAGTGGCTGGGCGCGCCAAAGTTTAATAGGCAAATGTTGGGCAGACTAACTGATAACGCAATCGCTTTCATGCTCATTATCTGATAATAACGTACAGAAACCCCTACTATTCATCTTGTTTAAGTATTATGACATGACGCCCGAAAGTCAAACTAGACATTCATTACTACGCAACGACTCGTTAAACACATTCCCGCAGCAACGAATACGCAATCAGGAATTGAGTAACTTCCGTTGCTATGCAACGTCGCTGTAAACACGCCTTCGTAACAATATAGAGGCTGTGTTTTCTGCGTGGGCCGTGCGAAGTCGTTATAAAGAAGAGTCAGTTTAGTTTTGAGAGGCCAGCCTGCCGGGATATGAGCTTGGAGCAGGAGCAGAGGAACTACGTTTAGTAGAGTCTTCGGAATTGGCAAGTTGGCAGAATAACGACAAGAAAGGAGTTATGCTGTGAAAAGAAGACTTCATATGTGAAGTTACGGTGAGACTTTAATAAATCCGTTGCCAAGATACGACTAGTGCGTGTGTAACGGTGAACTGTAAAGTATGAACATAGCGATAACGCTATTATTGCCTATAGTCCCTAGTTGAATTATAAAATGTCAGTAAATCCAACCATCCAATCCAGAACCCGTCTATAAGTCACGCACAAACCCCCTACACGTGACAGTATGTTTGAATTTCCCATCGACGTACGAATGCGGGAAGTATGTCGAACATCGAATCTGGTGGTAAGCTTCACGCCCCGGCCGCTTTACCCTGGGGAAAGAACCTTAGGTCCACATTGGATAGGCTGATTGGTTGGAGCCCAGAGCCGATCTGGACGGCGTGGAGAAGAAAACAATTCTTTACCTTACCGGGACTCGAACTCTGACACATCGGTCGTCAGGACCTTAGCTAGTCGGTATACCGACTACACTATCCCGGCTGGTAATGATTAATAAGTAATTTTGGGGGTAGGCACGCGGGAGCATAGTTGGTTAAGGCACTGTGCTACAAGCCGGAAGTTCGCGGGATCGAATCCTAATGTCACTGGATTTTTCAATTGACTTAAACCTGCCAGCCGCACTGTGGCCCTGGGGTCTACTCAGCCTCTAACAGAAATGAGTAGCAGGAATATTCTTGGGGTTAAAGTGTGGCCGGCGCCAAGGGCTTACGACTTTACCGCCATCTGTGACCTTCGACCTCTCACAACGCTATGGGCCCTCACTGCCTGTTACAGGGATAGCTTTACCTTTACCTTGTCTAGTGTCAGCATCATTTTGTTCTGAACTCTTCAGATAAACACAATCTAAATGATTCATATTTATTCGTATAACCATCGTTGGCCAGCTCTCCACAAGTTCTACAAAGCTTGAGAGAGCAGACTTAGTAGGGCATGGACGCTGTTAAGCAATAAATCAGTTGGTCTGGAAGAGGACACAGACAAGCAGTGTGTGTTGTCTCCTACATGGCCGAGCAAGGCCGTGGTTTTCGTGTACATAGTATTCGTCAGACCGGTATCTGGGAACTGCCGTTTCACTGGTTTTTGTTTGGCGGCCTTAATATATCTCGTCGCATGACACACGTGGTCAGATCACAAATAACTGTGGATCTACTGCATAGAGGGCAGTGTCACGGACAATCAGATGCGCAGTTCTTATCGCACACGCGCTCTTATGCTCAGAAAAATTCGATGTCGACAGCTAGAAATCATATTTTAACTCCTACATCTGATGGTTGTATACTTGATCCAGTTTGAGGAACGAGGATGCATCAGTTAGTGACGTATACGATTACGTCACTAATTGAAAATAAATTGATTCCATTTTTGACATGCTTAGGCATTCATACGCCGGTGGCAAATTCAGACATGCTTACAAAGGAGTTTTTTTTTTTTGAGGTTGTCTGTGTAAAGTATGGAGTACCCTGTTTGGTAGAGCAGCTGGACGATGAATCGCTGTGCTAGGCTGATGCATAACATATCAAACGAGAATATACACATGGGAGTTAGAAGGAGGGGTTAAGTCAGGCTTCTCCCTTTCCTGGAACAAAATTAAGAGGAAATAATTGTTAATAAATGTGAAGCTCTCCCTGTAACGGGCCGTGGAGGCCCATAGGCTTTTGAGACGTCGAGGCTCCCACTTTTTCTAGACAGTCTGCTCACAGATGGCGGCGAGGCTGTCTGCCGGCCGCCCTTTGTCCCCGTGAAGATTCCTGATACTCATTTCTGTTAGAAGCTGAGTCGACCCCAGGGCCATAGTGCAGCTGGAAGGATTAGGTCAGTTTCAAATCCAGAGTGGTCATGAGGAATCGAACCCGCTCTTGTAGCACAGTGCTTCAACCACCTACGCTACCTCGTACCCCCGAAGAAATTAACGTACCAAATATTAATAATAAAAATGAATTTGACTTTGAAATTATTCATATATCTTGAATATTCTAGAGCGATCAATGAAAGTAGTGTTGAACGGTTGAAGCATAAATATGTAAGAATATTTTCTAAATGCCCCTTCACCTGGTCTTGGGGAAATCTTACTCAGCTTCCTCGGATATGCCCCTTCACCTGGTCTTGGGGAAATCTTACTCAGCTTCCTCGGATATGCCCCTTCACCTGCTCTTGGGGAAATCTTACTCAGCTTCCTCGGATATAGAGACCAAGAAGTTGGGCACAGAAAGATGTTAAGGCTAATAGTATGCTTGTGGTGTTGAAGAGAGTTGAATAATGACGTTGATAACTGCAACAGTGTCCAGTTCGAATTCCAACGAGTTTTATGCCGATAAGCTTAATTTGATGTAATTTTTTCATATGAACGCCAGATCGGGCTATTGTGAACACGGCAATCAACTTTCAGGTGATATAAAAGGCGGATAAGTAAGTAACTGAGTGATTATTGGCTTCTCAAGAAGGTCTCGACTTCTCTGAGTTAGTTAGAACACCAATTCATACGTACAAACTAGTCGTCACTCTTGAGAACTACTTGCGGCGGCGGAGTATTGTGTTACTCCGCGGGGTGCCCGGCGACACAATGGCCCCCTTTACGCTGTTATAGTTAATGAAGTGACATTAAATTTCAGTACTGCCAAAATTTCCTCGAAATATATTAAAAGAAATGTTTCTCCCAGGATGGGGTGCCAGCAACGTCTATAACCATTGAAAATCGTATGAAATTAGTTTCAACATGTCCAGTCATATTTCCTGCATCCCCCCCCCTCCCCTAATGAAATCCGTTTCTTCCCGCAAATCATCACTTCCAACAAGAAAGACTTTTCGAATATTCAAGGGGCTAAGAAAGGAAACAACTTTTTATTCTGGTTCGAGTCCTGGCGCTACCAGATTTTCTGAGAAGTAGTAGTGGATCTCGAAAGGGGTCCACTCAACCTCGTGGTGATAATTGAGGGGCTGTTTCAAGGAAATAGCCGCTCCGGTCTAAAAAACCGAAATTAACGGCCGTGGGGATCCGTTGCGCTGACCACGCGACACCCTCTATCCGCTAAAGTTGGCACTAACTTCGACGACAATCGGCGGTCGCTCCATCGGTATAGTTCGCTTGCGGACTACAGGCCACGGAGGGTTTTTTTTAGGCTGCTTAAGGATTGGTATGAGCGTAACACCATTTATGCGCCGTGACTATGGAAAATTGAGTTCCGGATAAACTAACCATAACTGAGTCCTCCTTAAGAACTGCCAGTTGCTTAGCTACTCAGGAGTCAAACGTTTGCCTCTGGTTGCTATCGGGTTTCACTCTTGTTTCTTGCGCGCTTATTTTTCGACCTTGAAGATGGAGGCAGTATGATCGTCCGAAACGTCGGTTGGCTTCCAACGGACTACACGGCATTATATCCCAGAAAAAAGTAGTCTTGAAAATATATTTAGATATTTTTTATAATGGGCTAGTATGAGCTGGATTCATCTGGCTTAGGACAGGGGCCCGTGGAGGGCTTTTGTGAACGTGGTAAAGAACCTTCTGACCTTATAATATTCTTGAGTAGCCAAGCGACTAGTAGCTTGTCAATAACGACTCATTTCAATGGATTTAGATCTTATTCCTTCTGAACTTGCTGATCACGTTAAAGTTAGGCGAAGTTTAATTTCGTTACTCTTGTCCAAGTATAAGGAGGATGATGTGGGCAGGGCATGTAGCACGAATGAGGGAACAGAGGAATGCGTATAAGATATTGATGGAAAATCCAGAAGGAAAGAGACCACTGGGAAGACGAAGGCGTAGGTAGGTGGACAATATTAAAATTGATCTTAGAGATATAGGATGTGATGGTATAGATTGGATTGATCTGGCTCAGGATAGGAACCAGTGGAATGCTCTTGTGAACACGGTAATTATCCTCCGGGTTCCACAAAATGCTGGGAAATTCTTGAGTAGCTGCAGATTTGGTGGCTCCTCAAGAAGGGCTCAGCTCCATGAGTGAGTAAGTAACGTGTTATTGTTATTTGAAATGGACATGTTTGGAAGGAGTGTTCTGTGTTCCTACACGACGTTACTTGTCCGTCCCTGACGGTGCAAGCAGGGATGGCTCCTGCCGCTGTGGACCGACCGGCTATCGCTTGTATACAATTGAATTTTCCCTTTTGTGCTGGTGTGGACACAATGGTATACACGACATCGAAGACAACCCGTCAACTGGAAACCAGACTGAACAAGAATACATTTTTTTCGGAAATGAAAACAAAAGGTAAAGAATAACAAATTCATGAAAGAGGGCAGAAAAAAGGCTAAAGAGAACAACGATAAAGAGAGTGAATGAAGAGAATTGGCAAGGAAAACAACAACAGCAATGCAAATAAAATTATAGAAATAAAACTTCTAAGAATTAAGTAAGAAGATGAGAAACCAGCAACGCAGGATGCCAATTTTGTTTGGCTATGGGCTCGACGACCGAGGGGTCGTAAATCGAGTCCTCGGAGGGCCAACGATTTTCTCCACGTCTCCCAGACTGGCTCTGAGGCCCACCTAGCCTCATATCCAATGGCCTTCAACTAGTGGCGAGG